CCTATCAATTGATGCAGAAAAAGCCTTTGATAAAATCCAACACCCTTTCATGATTAAAGCACTCAACAAAATAGGATTAGAGGGGAATTTCTTCAACAATTCATCTTTTAATTTTTTGACTACTGGTGCCAAGAGTATTGACTGAAGATCTGAGCAAGATGAAATTGATAACAACCTCAATCTTTTCTCCATCTATTTTACCCTAAAAGAAAACCACACACACACACAAATAAAACAATGAATAAGAAAGACCAGAGAAAAATCAATGCCTTGCAATGAATTATGGCATTAGCAAGGAATATTGAATATACTAAAGACTATAAACAGTTAAGGTTCCAGTCCATAGGAAATTACATCATGCTGAGAAAAGTGGAAGGTCAGAGAAGAAAAGAAGATCCTCAACACGATGGATTGATATGGTGACTGCAGCAATAGGCTCGAGTGTGTTTTGCATTGTGGGGATGGCATAGGATAGAGCAAAGGTTAGATCTGTTGTTCATAGAATTTTTATGAGTCATAGAGAGAGCTCTGTTGGCCTAGTGGATAGAAAGTTATGCTACCAAGGCAAAGAAGGGTGATTTTAATCTATGGCTCTCAGGTCTGGTTTTAATTGTTTTTGGTTAAACATTCTTCTAAGTGGCATAGCATTGGTCTGTCCATTTGCTGTGCAGAGGTAACTCATTGTTGCTGTGATGCTAAACACTGTGCACTGACGTGTCAAATGCGATAATGGTTATCCATGGTGGATAGTGTTTGGTAGAGCTCCCAGATTAAAACAGGTTTGGAAGCAGGAGTGGCATCCACTTCGGAAATAGCTTACCTCTGGAAACTATAAACTTAGAGAAACGATGAAAGTTATACAAGTGTTCTGATCTTTCATTCATAAGGTCGCTATGAGTCGTCAATAACTCGATGGCACTTAACAACTACATAGACTGCAAAAATAACAAATAAGTCCATCTTGCAGGAAATGCAACCAGATTTCCCTTTAGAGGAAAAGATGGTGAAACTTTGTCTATCATACTTTCAGCATGTTATCAGGGGAGATCAGTTCTTGAAAAAAGATATCATGCTGAGACAAATGTAGGGTCAGAGAATGAGAGGAAAGCCCTCAGCAGGACTAATTAGCACAGGGACTTCAACAATGGAGAGGATGAAGATGGTGCAGGAAAAGGCAAGGTTCATGAGGTCACTATAAATCACAGTAGACTGAACAGCCCCTAAAAACAACAACTAGTAAAGCACAGTAAACCAATAGGATGATCATTTTAATAGTAATTTTCTCTGACGTCTGTATTCTATAGGGTTTTTTTTTTCCTTTTAGCATTATAAAACTTTTTCATACCTTTAATTTCTTTCCATTCATTCTGTTTACACTGGAAAAAGCCAATTACAAGGTCCTAACATTCCATCAAAATCAATAAAATTTTATGCTTCAAGGAAGTACTTACTACTTGTAGAAGAATCAGATTATAAGCAACTGCCACACAGCGTGAGAAATGCTATATTGGAGTAGTGTATAAAAGTCCACAAATGCACAAAGAGGCACACAGAGGCAAAGGTAAAGCACTGGTTTCAGTAATGGCAAGTAAATAGTGCTTGAAAGCAAGAATGAAAACACGTGGAACAAAAGTGAAGCATTGTTTAAGTTTTGAGGTTAGGTAAAATAAATAGTTATGTTTCTGTTCACCTAATAGAAAATTTCAGTTGAATCAAGCCATTTCCTTTATTTCATGTTTACAATCCGGCCTCATCCAGAAAATACAGCTCTTACTTTTGAAATAACAAGTGCTGTATTCACTAAAGTATATGAAGTGATCTTGTATATATGTAACATAGAGTAACTAGTGTCTTTTTCAGTCATTTATTTTAAAATGGAGAGGATATTTTTACTGGTTTTCCCACTATAATTATTCACATGCCAAATTTCAAATATTGTGGTATTTTAAAACAGTCAAAACTTCCCTCCTAATACCCCATGATAGTATTATTAGTTATGTTTTCCCAAATATTTTGTAAATACGTTTTTGTATCATTCTTACTATAGAGGAGCACTGGTGGCCTATTGCTGCAATCCCAAAGGAAAGCGGTTTGAGGCTCCTAGCTGCTCCAAGGGAAAAGGATGGGCAATCTCCTCTGGTGGGATTTACTGACTCTGAAAACCTGCCAGAGGGTCAGCAATGAGTCATTTCTGACTCTGTGGTACACAACAACAACAATAATTCTTACTATAAAAATATTGGGGCTTTGAAAAAACTCTTTTCCAGAAACACTTTACAATTCAGTACTTTACAAATTAGGAAAACTTGTTTGTATTGACATAAAAATATATTTATGAAGTAGTAAATAAATAGTTCTAAACTAAATTGACTGCCAGTTATCATTTATTGATATAATTTGGTTGTTTTGTTGTTCATAATGTTAATTCTCTTTTCATTAAAATATGTTGTCGTTATGTACTGTCCAGTCAGAATTGAACCAGAACTGACCTTCCAGTAGGTTTTCAGAGGTAATTAATTGCACAGGAGAAGATTGCCCAGCCTTCTCCCCCAGAGTAGCGTGTGGATTAGAACCACGTGCCTTTGGTATTACAGTGCAGGTTTTTGCCAGTAGGCCACCAGAGCACTCTAAAACAAGTGGTGTTCTTATACTGTTTGCCTTCAAATTGGAACCAACCCAGAGCTGACCCTCTGTTGGATTTTCAGAGGCAGTTAATTGCACAGGAGGAGATTGCCCATCCTTCTCGCAATGAGCAGCTGGGGGATTAGAACCTCATGTCTTTGGGATTGTAGTGCAGCTTCTTGTCACTAGGCCACCAGAGCTCCCTAAAATAAGTGGTGTTACTGTTTGCCTTCCAATTGGAAGGGATGCATAGCTGACTCTTCAGAGAGTTCTCAGAGGCAGTTAATTACACAGGAGAATATTGCTCATGGGTCTCCCACAGAGCAGTTGGTGGCCTAGAACCGTGTGCCTTTGGAATTTCAGCGCAGCTTCTTGCCACTAGGCCAATCCATTGTTGTTATTTGCAGCTGAGTCGTTTGCAACTCATAGCAACCCTATGTTCAAGAGCCCTAAATCCTGCTCTATCCTGTGCCAACCTTATTTTCTCTGACACACCTAATTTTCTCTGACACACCTACTCTCATTACCCCAATCACTGAATCAATACATCTCATAGAGGGTCTTCCTCTCATGTACTGTCCCTCCACCCTCCCAAAAATGACATCCCTCTCCAAGGACCAGTCCCTCTTTGCAACATGTCCACAGTATTTCAGATGAAGCTTCAGAACCTTGCATCCAAGGTGCAGCCTGATTTCACCCTTTCCAGGTCCATTAGAGGTGTGTAAATCTTCCATTTGTTTTGCTGAAAATTAGTTTTTTGTGCTGTGGGCTTAATTATTGAAGTGAAAAATGAATACAATATTTCAAAGTGCTTTACCAAGAGACTGCTTTATTTACTTTACAAAAGCAAAAGCCTATAAAACTTTCATGTAATATTGCATCTTTGGTTTTTCAGGTCTGTGGACTCAGGGCTCCTTAGCGCTTTACAAGGTTTATCTGTCACAGACACACACCTTGTGGAGGTTGATGGAGATACCCTCTCCCTGTATGGATCAGGAGCACTGGAATGTCTGGATCGGAACTGGAGCGCTCAGACAGCGGGAATGATCACAACCGTCTCCTTCACTTTTATAGAATTTGATGAAATTGTCCAAGTGCTTCCCAAATTGAAGATGAAGTTTCCTAATTCTCTGGTAAATACTTCCTTTTAGTATGATCTTTCAATTACTCTCAATCACGACTTGAATGTTCAAGCCAAAGACCTGTTTTAATTTTATTTACACAGTTTCTATCTGGCAAAGAGGCCAGCTTTTGTGTAGATGTTTTGGACCTGGAATTTAAATTAGCATTCATAAATGACCTTCCAGTTTTCAGTTAATATTGGAAATTTTCTTGCTAAAAATGATTTTTATGGAGTAGAAAGGATAATAAATTTATTCAAATTATATGTTTCTACCTTGTAAAACAGTCAGTGGACCTCATATAATCCTATACTACATACTTATTTATTGTAACTAATATTGATAGGCATACGCGTTTACTATACAACTTTTATGGTACAACATATGGAATAATTTTAGAACCTTATTAAAATTACTTTTAGAAGTCAGCTTTCTCCAATTAGGATATTGTTCTATATTATTCATTTGAGAATCCTTGGCTTCCATAATTTATTTATTGAATCTTTATTAAAGTTTTGCTGATCTTGGTTAGCCAAGTAATTTACTTCACTTGCCCTTGTATGCTATTTTATTTATTGCAGTTCAATTTTCCTAAAAAAAGTGATTTGTAGAAGTGGAGACAATATTCTTAGAAAAGTGCAACCAAGTCCTCAGATAGAAAATGTGCATTAGTATTTTACTAATTCACAGTGGAAAGTCTGCGGTTAGAAACCTCTCTAAATAAAGTACTGAAGTGCAACAGTGTCAATCTGGAGACTAAGGTGCGTCTGATCCAGGCTATGGTCTTTGCCATTACTTGCTATGCATCAGAGAGCTGGACAGTGACTAGAGATGATAGAAGGAGAATTGATGCCTTTGAGCCGTGGTGTTGGAGAAGAGTATTGAATATACCATGGACTGCTAAGAAAATGAACGGATTTGTCCTGTAGAGGGAGAAACCAGGCTGCTCCTTGGAGGCAAGGGTTCTAAAGCTTCGTCTGACATACTTTGGACACATTGCAAGGAAGGACCAGTCCCTGGAGAGAAATGTCATGCTTGGGAGGGTGGAGGGACAGCGCAGGAGAGGAAGACCCTCTAATAGGTGGATTGATTCAGTAACTGGGGTAATCAGGATGGGAGTGTCAGAGATTGGCACAGGATAAGACAGAGTTTAGGGCTGTTGTGCATAGGGCCACTGTGAGCCACAGGCGACTAGAGAGCACATAACAACAACAACATTTTACTAATTCAGTTTTTCTGTAACCAGTTTAGCCTACAGAGCTAAAAGGTGATAATGACTAACTAGTTCTTCCTAAGAGCATTGTGACCCCTGTACTTAGAATGTTTTGAGATTTTTGTTTCCAGATTTTTCTTTGTAGGTTTAATGTCAGTGTAAAGCATATAAATCTTTGTAATGCCTATAAGTATCAGAATTATTGGATATTTGAGAATTTAGAATCTTGGTTTGTTAATAAACGGATGCCTTTTGCAGAAGATAAATCATCCTCAACTCAAGATTAGATACATTGGTACAATAATGTTATATAAATATAGTACCCACAGTTGATTTAATCTAATTGAAAACATATTTGCTAAACTAAAATGTGAAGATTTCTTGGGGGAGTGATCTGTAAGGCTATAATGTTAATATTTTAAGATGATTAAACTCCATGTTCAGCTATAATTGTGTGTTTTATTATTGCAGCACCTTAAATTCAAGGAAACTAATCTTGTCATGCTGCAGCAATTTAATGCATTAGCACAGCTCCGTCGTGTTGACCAGTTGACAATCGATCCTCAAGGAAATCCAGTTGTCAATTTTATGCTCTGGAAATACTATGTACTATTTCGGCTGAGCCATTTTAGCATGCAGAAAATAAATGGAACAGAGGTAAGTTTAAAAGCTCAACCATAGAATCAAAATGTTCCTTTTTAGGAGAAATATTTATAAAAATGGTTCAAAAACTTAAACAGTCAGAGTGTAACTTTTGAGAAAAACATCTATTTCTTAGTATAAAGCCTGCCATTTAAAATGTCAAAAAACTGCTTCTCGGCCCTGGCGTTCACGTTCGCGGCCTTCTGCTACGTGCTGGAGCGGCTGCTCACCACCATGCTGATCTTTTTCACCGTCTGGCACATTATAGCATTTGAAGAACTGAAGACCGGTTACCAGAGTCCTACAGACCAGTGTAATACCCTGAATCTTCTCGTCCTTCCAGAGTACCTCATCCTTGGTCCTCTGTGCAGCTGAGTGGCTTACCCTGGGTCTTGGAGTATCCCTTTAAGGCTTATTATACTTGTGATGAGCTCACCTGGACTCTATGACCCCACCATCATCATGACTGCAAATATTCTAGCATATTGTCAGGAAAATAGATGGTGCAAATAAGCTTTTTACCTTCTAACATTTTTTTTTACTACCTATACAACATGATCTGTGTTTTGGTGAGCTCTTAGAACAGATACACAGAAGAACTGGTCCAGTTAAGTGCCTGCAGAAGCTACCAAATGAAGGGATTCTATCCAGAAAGTTCTTTTTTCCAAGAGTCGACTATGGAATCTGATCAGTTACTTTAAAAAAATGACTCCTTGTTTTTTTTAAATATTTCCACAGGTTTTGCTTGTGGGAAGACTGTTCATATGTTATACTCAGAAAAAGAAATTAAATGGAATTTTGCATACATTAACATAAAATTATTACATCTGGTGTTGACAGGTTTGAATTTGCACTCCTTAAGGAACAGTCTTATCTTCTAAATGAGTGCATTGATTACTGATGGATCTTAGACCATTAGAAGCATTTGTTTATAGCAACTTATAGGGCTCATTTGGTTTTATTGAAATGCCATCTAATTACAGAATAGCCGTAGATAGCAGTTGCTTTTGATTAACTAAAAATGTTTATCTGTCTGATGGGGAACTTAATGATTTTCTTGTATGTCATGTAGATAATTCTATATGGATACCTTTACAAAATAAGGAAAATGGGGTTTCTTTTTCCTCCTTTGACTTAATATTATCCCTGTATATTGCATGAGTGAAAGATTTCCATCAGAGTAATGTACTTGCTTTAATTCTTAAGTATATATGAATATGATATGAAAATATACTAATTACTTGTGAAGGATACATTTAAAGCTATTTTAAATGTGTTTTTATTTGTAAGACATTACTTATTAAGAAATAGGTTCTAATCTGGTGCAAAAATAACCTTAAGAATTTGCAAGTACCAAAAATGAAAAAAAAAACAAAACACCCCAACTTGCAAGTACCTTAGATTTTTTTCAAAGCTGAATTAGAGAGAACACTGTATAACCATCCTACTGTTCATTTAGTGCAATACAATAAAACTTTCAAATTAAAAAAAAATTGTCTAAAACCTAAAAGTCTGCTTACCTACAACACTGAACAAATTCTAAAAATCTGTAATATTCATATGATGGTGAATAGTAGATACTTTTACTGTGTAAGAAAGAAGAAAATTCAAATGGTGGTGGTATGACAGAAAGGAATTAATTCCTCTACAGATAATGTGGTATTTGCTTTGCATACTGTCTGTCACGGAAAAGGAGATGAGGAATACACAAATATTAACTAAAATGCTTTAATAGAGGTAGAGAAGAATAAAATGAGGGGGGGAAGACTATACAAGTGGAGGGGGAAGAGGGGTTAAAAAGAGCTGAAAAGGAAAAATAAAGAAAGGTGAAAGAAGAAAGATTAAAATGAGGGAGCAAAGGACAAGTAATATGAAATAAATATAAACATCGATACTCTTGTTAATTGCTTATAAAAGCCTGTATTACGTTTATACTGAATAACTAGGAAAATTAGTAGTGGAGCCTAATTTTTAGCTGCATTTTGCTAAGTGGGCGATAAAATTAATTCCCTAGTGACTCAGAGGGTATGTTTCCTTTAAATATCATTTTGAGATAAACAAGAGAAATTGTGGTCATGCTTCTATACAATTTAAATAATCTTCCCAGTAAAACATGTTTTATTAAGAAGCCCTCGTGGTTGAATGGTTGATCTCTCATCTCTTAACTTAATGGTTGACAGTGAGGACCCACCCAGCAGTTCCTCGAGAGAAGACGTGGCAATACGTTCCTATAAAGAATGCATTCCACCAAATTCCATGGGACAGTTCTACTTTGGCACATGGGGTTGCTATGAGTAAAAATGAATTCAGTAGAGCCTATTAACAGTAAAACAATGGAACCCTGCCAGATCCTGGGGCATCTTCACAATCCCTCCTGTGCTTAAGCTCATTGTTGCAGTAACTACACCAATCCATCTTATTGAGGGTCTTCCT